GCATCTGTAAAGACCTTTTTGGAGAAACTGAAGAAATTTGAACAAGACTGTACATTAGATAATAATATTGAATCATTTTAAATGCCTTAAATGTAATAGTAATACTTTGGTTATGTCAGAGAATGTGCTTGTTTTTAGATAATACAAACTGAAATGTTTAGACGATAAATATAATAATGTCAGCAACTTAATTTCAAATGTTTCAACAAAGACAAAATGTGTATGTGTGCATGTGCATGTGGGGAGTGGTAGGCGGTGTGTGTGTGAGAGAGAACACACATCACAAAATGTTATCCAATGGCAAAACCATTTGAAGGATACTTGAGTATTCATTGTACTATTCCATCTACTTTTCTGCAGGATTGGAATTTTCAAAATAATGAACATTTTATTTCAAAAATAAAATAAAAGGCTCGTTTACAACCACATTTAGCACTTGCAATCATACTCCCAAGGAATTATCAGGAAACAATTGAATTATTAGGTTACATTTGTTTTCCTCTTTATCTGTTGATTTGGTCAAGTGACCGAAATTGATTGGTAGCAATTGAAAATATGCCATGAGGCAGAGTCCTGGACATTAAGTCACAATAAGACAAACTTATAGGGAAATATATATGGCATTTTACCCCCTTCTTTCTTTCTTCCTAACTAATCAGAGCAGAAATCTTTGGCAAGCCAAAGTAATACATAAGTAGACTTCAGTAGTGTAACAATCCATCAAAGTTATCAAGACAAAAGGCTGTTTTGTAGATGGTCTCCTCTGAAGAATCTGAAAAATCTGAGCCTTCTACTGATATGGACTGAAGGATCTAGGCTGTCCTTCCAGGTAAGAACCAGAAACAAAGCTCAACTTGACCTAGAGATTTTGCAGCATACCTCCAGAGTGGAGACTGTGTCCATTGGGAGTTTCCATTTCCTTTCACCTGGTTTTGTACTTCCTCTCCTCTGCTGGGTGGAAAGAGATCATTTATTAGCAATATAATGTACCAAGCTTGCTATTAGTGAGTTTGTTTCGGCATTCCATCATGAAAGACCTAAGCCTTCCTCTTAATGATGGGAAACATGTTAGAATGCCCTCCCAGGAAAAAAGATCATCTTGATCTCAAGAACCTTGTGACTATCTGCCCCATCAGGAGGTCTGAGAAGTAAAAACCCCAGAAGAGACTACAACATTAAGAAAGGAAGAAAGAGTGGAGACTAGAGAGAAATAGGGTTCCCAAATACTCAATGAAGAGAAGCCTTTTTTAAAAAAAAACATTGTACGACTGTATGGTGTATAGTGGAACACAGGTGCAGGAGCTGTGCTGCCCGGTTTGGAATCCCAATTCTGTCTCTTTACTAACTGTCCAATGCTTACTAGCTGAATGACCTTGGGTGAGTCATTCAACCTCTCTGTGCTTCGGTTTCCTCTTAGGTATAATAGAGATAATAATAGCACCTATCTCATAAGTTTGTAGTAAGGATAAAACACGTTAATGTATACAGTGCATGTAGTAGACACTCTACTCAGCTGTTTGTCGTAGACTTCATGTATGAATGTTGATCATTTCTTTCTGATAATAGTATCTGCATATCTTTCTGGCATAACCAAGTGGTTATATATGAATAAGTGTAATCTCTGAACCAGAGAAACACAGGGGAAGGAAAGAATATGTCATTTGAGGACTAAGAAAGGACTGAACAAACTTGGGGAGTTAAAAGACATGTATAAGAGTAAGGATCCATACAATATCCCTGGCTCTGGGTGTAGGCAAATACTATTCATAATACTCATAACAGAAAGTAAACTTTACCACCCCATTGTTTGGTACCCTGTGGACTTTTTCAAACAAAAGCACAGAACATCTTCCTTTGAGGCATTTGTCTAAGAACTCAGCGTTGAACAGATTACACCTATATTTGAGACAACTGTTATTAAGATAGGCAGAATGGAATACATAGGCTAACTGTTCCACCAGGTTCCATTAAATTTAGCTCTAGATATATTGTTTTCTGGAAATTTAACTCTTGACGGACTAGATTCCAGTGCTTTTTTCCCTCGGCTAGCTCCACTAGCTCTCAGAGGTAGGACTTTGCCTTAGGTTTTTACTCAGGCTCACAGAACTGTTTTGACTTAGTAATGTTCTTTAAGTTTCTAAAAAAGAAAATCCGTTTGAGGAAATTGACCATTATGTTTTCCAATGTCCTTTACCCAATGAGTAGATTTTCCTAGAATTTAATGCCAGGAAAAAGTTTAAATCTCAGGAAAGTTTCAATACTTCCTTTTATCAGACAATAAGAATTTAATAATCCACGATGATTTGTTTTTTGTCTTGACTGTTAGTGTCCAATTGCATTAAACTATCATACCACAGTCAATTCATTTGTATGCTCAGATGTTTAATAAATGTGAATAGAAGGAAAGGACAATGGATGGCAACTGTGTATAACTATATTCCAGATGAAAGTAATAGATGAGGAGAGACGTGGTGGCTCATATATATAATCCCAGCACTTTGGGAGGCTAAGGTGGGAGGATCGCTTGAGGCCAGGAGTTTGAGACCAGTCTGAGCAACGTAACGAGACCCCATTTCTACAAAAAATAAAAAAGTTATCCAGATGTAGTGGTGTACACCTGTAGTTCTAGCTACTCAGGAAGCTGAGACAGGAGGATCTCCCAAACGCAGGAGGATTGCCTGGTCAGCAAAGAATAGCCTCCTCCAGCTATTCCTTGAAGAGGACGAGGAGGAGGGGAAGAGGAAGGGGGAGGGAGAGGAGGAGGAGGATTATTCTTTAGATATTTCACTTAGGATAATGGTCTCCAGTTCCATCTTTCTTATTGCTGAGTACTCCTTGGTATATATATACCACATTTCCTTTATCCACTCATCAGCTGATGGGCACTTAGGTTGATTCCATGTCTTTGCAATTGTGAATTGTGCTGCAATAAACATACCAGGAGTGCACATTTCACGTTCCTTCGCCTTCTCCAGCTTCTCTCTGATGCCCCTTTGTCTTCAGCCAGCCAAGGGGAGGCAAGTAGAGAAGAAAATGCACTGGGACTTGGGACTGAGGTAAACTTCTTGTCTGCTAGTCAACCCTGTTTCCTCGGTGAGCCTTGCAGCCTGTGAGATAAGTGCAGTAGTTCATTTAGTTGAGCTTGTTCTGGCCTTTTAAAGTCTCAGGGCTTTGAATCACCCTGCTCCTTTAGTCCAGAATCTCCTTCTCTCCCAACTCCACCCCTTCAAGACTCATCTAGTTATTAGGATCCTGCAAACAATCTTTCCGGAGTTTCTCAGCTCTTTTTGCTATACCCCCAGTAATCCATTCGAGCACACATTCAAAAGGTGAACAAACATCTATTGGGTGCCTACCATGTGCCAGGTACTGTTCAAGGGACTAGGCATAGAACTTAGAACAAACCAGAAAAAAATCCTTATCCTTGTGGAATTGGTATTCTACAGGAGAAGACAGACAATAAGTAGTAAACAAATAAGTAAGAAAATGATATGATATGTTAGAAAAGGAAACAAGAGGGGAGTGGGGTTCCAATTTAAGTGGAAGGGCGGAAGAGCTTCTTTGAGAAGATTGGAAGGACTGGGAGAGCAGCCATACGGCTGCCCACGAGACGGACAGGTCAGCTAGAAGTGCCAGGCAGGTTGGAGGAACAGGAGGAACAGTCCCCATCATAACTGGAGCAGGAGAGCGGGTGAAGAGGACAGGGAGGTTATGGGTGGCGGGATTGCATCAGGCCTGGCAGGCCACTGTAAAGACTAGAATTTTTACTCTGAGTGAAATAGGAAACCATTGCAGGGTTTTAAGCAGAGGTGGGACATAATTTGACATTTTTAAAAACATCTGTCCAGCTGCGGTGCGAAATATAGACAAAGGTGAAATCAATGTTATTGCAGTAACGCAGGCGAGGCATGAGGGTGGTCTGGACCATGGTGGCAGGTGTGGAAGTCGTAAAATGAGCATTTATTTAATTAAAGTTGTGGCATTCATTATGGCTTGCATTAAATGTACGGCTAATAAGCTTCCGCGGTGGGTTTTTGCACCTTGGGTTTCAGGGAATGATAGTGATGGGAGGCAGGGGTAGGTAAAGTCCGAGTTACCAAGAAGGCAGAGCCTCATGCATCTGAAAACCTTAGACAGTTCTAGGCCTCTAGGCCTCTGGCGCAGCAAAAATTCTATAGCCGAGCCCACCAACCGCTCCCCCGTGACCATGCGCAACAGGCAGGTGGGAGCCTATGGAAAGCACAGGACTTTCGGAAAGCCGGACGAGCGCCTTCGGGGTATCGCAGTTCGGCACCTCTGCGCAGGCGCATGGTCGCCGCTGGCTTGCGCGCGCAGCCGCTGCGGGACAAGCTTCTGAAATCTCATTGCGGTGGCGTTGGTGCTGGTTGCGGATGCTAGGGCAGGTATTGGTTGTCCCAGGTCCCTAGTTTTGGGGCCACGGCTGGGTCGCCGGCTCTGAGGGCGCACCTGGGGCGGGACGGCTGCCGAGAGCAGCAGACCTGCGGATGCTGCTGCTTCTGTGAGAGGTGGGCGCTCTGCTGCATGACGGAGCCTTCGGCTTCCCTCCATCCCTCCCTGCGTCCGGGGGGTTTGCAGGTTCGGTGCCGTTGACATTTTGGGCGAGATGATTCCATGTTGTGTGTTGGGGGAGGTGAGTGGGGGGTGGTTTTCCCGTTATCGCAGGATGTGCAGCAGCATCACCGGCTCTACCTTTTAGATACCAGTAGCACCTCTCCTCCCCAGTCGTGGTAGCCAAAAATGTCTCCAGACATTGCCAAATGACCCGGGAGGGTGTGTGTGTGTGCAGAATCTCTCCTTTTTTCCTCCCTGCCGTTGAGACGTCTGCGTCACGTTTTCACTGAGCCTCTATGTAAGCTCCCTGGAGACGGAGCCGAGTGTCTCAGTCACTGCGAAGCCACAGGTGCCCAGCACGGCGCCAGGTACATGGTGGGCGCGTCATAATTTGGCAGAGGAATAAATGACGTCATGTGTGCTGTGCGCTGTGCTCCGTGCTCAGAGACGGGTAATTATTGGTATGGTAATGGCAATGGGAGGCGCACATCTTTTCCCTTGCCGCATTGTATGTAGTATATCTCCGGCTGTATTGTTTCCTGGACCCTCTGTGAGGGTGAGGACCCTTTCAGGCCAGTCCAAGCCTGGCCCCGCAGTGGCGTTCCCAGCACATTGTAGTTGCTCAGTCATTTGTAGATTGAATGAATGTGTGCAACGCAGGGCAGACTGTGTGCAAGGGAGTGCTTTGGGATCAAAGAGAGATTCACACAAGAGGTGGCAGTTGAAAGGAGTCAAGCTTTGAAGAATGAATAAAAGTTTGGAAAGAAGGCAACATTCTGAGGAGAGGGAATAGCCCTGGTGCAAAGGATAGGAGAGGTATAGAGGGTGTCTGGGACTGGGGAACTATTTCTTTATGGATGCAAGTGTCAATCAAGGGTAGCTAGAGCTTAAGAGGTGAGATCATCCAGGCAGTGTCTCTGAAGATCATTATGCATGGTCTCTGCGTTTGAGCTTTATCTAAAAACAGTTGGGCCAGTGAGGGATTATAAGCAGGGGAATGATAGGATCATATTTTGTAGATTAGAAGGAATTTTTTGGCTACAGTATGAGAAGATTGTATTGAAGAAGCCTGTACTGAGGCAGTTGCTGTAGGATATAATGGAGAGGTTCTTAGGAAATAAAGTCACCAGAACTTGGTTATTGATTATGTGAGAAGTAAGGAGGAAGAGAAATTTGAGAGTCAAATATGAAATCTGCCTTTTGAGTTGAGCAACTGGTGAGAAATGTGTGGCCAGTCATTGAGAGAAGGCAGATGATGTTAAACAGGCTTGTAATGGGGATCCCCTTGTAATTGGGCCTTTTCTGATATTTTTTGCTTATGAGGAGGATGATTAAGTTTGAAGCAACTGTTTCCTTGGAGGATACCTTTATTAACCCTTAATTAATTCCTCAGCTTTTGATCTACAAAGAAAAGTATTCTTTTAATATAGTAGTTGGGCAGGGCTGTCCTAGGCTTCTGAGGGTATATGTATGGATCTATATGTCTGAACCAAACCAAGAACAATGTTTTTAGGATTAACAACAATTGGTGTCACTTATTTAATGCCTTAATATTTTTTCTTGACAGTTTCTGCAAAACTGTAAACTGAATTCCTGGAATCTTCACATATGTTGTGTATAGTGCCTGTTGGTGAACTGTACTGATACTCGGCTAGACTCTAAAGGGGACTGTATTCCTGCTCGTGATACACAATGGAAGCTGTAGTGCCCTTGGACGAGATGACAGCCGTCTCATCAGACCCTCAAACTCTGGCCTCGAGTGAACAAAACAAGGTCCTAAGGATGGACACTTCTGGGAACCAAGAAGCTAATTTAGGAGGAGAGACTGCTGATCGAGAGTCTTTAAGACAGAGGTTCAGGTGGTTTCGTTACTCAGATGTAGCTGGGCCCAGGAAATCCCTGAATGAACTCTGGGAGCTCTGCACTCAGTGGCTGAGACCAGACATTCACACGAAAGAACAGATGTTACAGCTTTTGGTCTTTGAGCAATTCCTGATCATTTTGCCTGGGGAGATCAGGATGTGGGCAAAGTCACAACATCCTGAGAGTAGTGAGGAGATGGTGACCTTAATAGAGGATTTGACCCAAATGCTTGAAGAAAAAGGTGAGATTTAAGATGGAGGGAAGAGGTGGGAGAAATCACCTCAGGGTATGAAAGTAAACTCAAAAGAGAGAAATTTCCTGCTAAAAAGGAGCCTGAGTTTTCGAGTTGGGACTGGCTTAGAATCAGACCTACTATTTACTGTGTGATTTTGGGCAAACTAGGTAATCTCTAAGAATTTAAATATTTCTATCTGGGAGAAGGAGATACCATCTTTTCTGTAGTTTTCTTACAAAGGTTATTTTTCGAAAAACAAGATAAAGTAGAATATATGGTGGATGCTTAAGAAATACTAATTTCTTTTCCTTCCCCTTCAAAAACATAGGAGAAAAAGAAGTTATCTATGAAGGCATTTGGAATCACAGGCATCTCAACCAGCCCGGGCCTCAGCTTGTAGCTCCAGTGTATGCACCAGCGTATTACTGGAACAGGGCCGTCCAATATATTTGTGATGGAAATGTATTCTGCACTGTTTTGCAATTCAAGTTAAGCACATGAAATGTGGCTAGTACAAATAAGGAACTGAATTTTTCATCAAATTAAATTTAAACAGCCAAATGTAGGTAACATCTACCCTATTTTATAGTGCAACGCCACAGCCTTAGGGGAGGAACAACTGAGTTATATTTTTATGATTACATTATTATAAATATAAATGTATAAAATATAAACTATGAACTATAACAGTGATATCATTTTAAAATACTGATGTAAAGACTTCTAGCAGGGATAGTCCTTTTAGGGGACGTGGCCAACTTTTATAAAAATCCTCAAATATGCTACAAGTATTTATATTTTGTAGTATAATATGCTATAAATAGATTTGTATTTATACAATTATTTGCAGTAAATATTTGTAGCATATTGTTTACCATAGGGCTCCCAATACATATGTGTAACAGTTTGTTCTGCTGAGAGTTCTGAGATAGGGAAATGAATAGTACTTAACTCCGTAGACTTAATTTGTGGTCAGTCACACAGCTAATTGGTGTCTCTAAAGTTGGGGTTTCCTGACTCCTCTCTGATTTGTCCCTGTAACATGGTACTTATCCAAAGTTAGGGCCTCTGTGTGGAGGCCCCTTCAATAAAGAATTGATTTCCAGCATCTGTAAGGTAGAACAGTTTCCTTAAATTAATCTCTCTTTTCTCTTTGATTACATAATTCTAATTATTAATTTTTATTTGCTTGTCTAATCAATAAAGCTGCCTAAAATTCTTTTCACAAGAAGGTAGTATATGATTTGAAAAATACTTTTCCCTTATTTGAAAAAGAGCTGTTGACATCTGAGGGTATTTAATACATTTAGTGCATATGAGTTTAGGTGCTACTTTTTGGTCTTTAGGAATCTGTTGGTGATCCCAGAGGTAGAGTCTGTTCTTGAGACTAGCTTGGTGCTTTCATTCAGTAAACAATTTTGAGTGACTTGAGCAAGGCATTGCGCTAAGACTATGAAGAAAACAAATTAATAGATAAAAGGAATATGCTGTTTTATTGTAATACATCTTTTAAATTAGAAATATTTCAAAACTCACTGTGCAAATTAGTTAGTTTACAACTGGGGATATATGGAATGAAAAACAGTTTTTCTGAATTGAAAGGATTTTTATATGGAGTAGGGAAAAAAGTCTGAGTTTTTATAGGAAAGTGTCTGTGGCTATTCTCTGTTTTGAAGAGTGGGAAAACTTTTTGTTACTTCTGACCTTTTATCCAGATAGGCTCACAGTTCTTTTAATCCTTATAATTTCCTAGGCAACTAGAGCTGTAAGAGTATCTTTTGTTAAAATATTTGGCCTTTTATCCTTGGTTCCTGAAACAGCTCCAGAATAGCTCCAAGAGCTGTAAAGAGGAAAGACAGTCTTCTTGTTATTTATAACAAGCCCCTTTTGACCATACTGGTGTTTATGTTAATGAAGTGATTTTTGGAAAGTCCCTAGATAACTGTGGGGGAACTGGTTGCCAGGGAAACCAACCTGGTGCTTAGAGGGTTGGAACTCGGCCCCACCATCCAACCTCTGGGGAGGAGAGAGGGACCAAAGGTTGAATTGATCACCAGTGGCCAATGGTTTAATCAGTCTTGCCTGTGTATGAAGCCTCCAAAAAAAAAAAAAAAAAACCCAAAAGGACAGGGTTGGTAAGAGTGTCCAGATAGCTGAACGTGTGGAGGTTCCTGGGGGTTGGTGTGCCTGGAACAGGCATGGAAGCCCCTTGCCCCTTCCCAAATGCTATGAGTCTGTCAACCTAAAATAATCAAAAGGCTCAGGATCCAATTAAAAGAACTTATATAAGTAGGGACATACCTACACCAAAGAATGGTGATCAGTGCTCCCAGTGTGGGGAAAAGTGAAGATGGTTTATATAGGTAAAGAGGTGCTGAACAGAATTTCATTTTCCATACAAAGGCTAACGTACAGATATAAGAATTGATTAGCTACTGTTCATTACATTCTAAGGGGATTGCTTAACATTTTATTATAAAAAGGTAACAATCACAAGGGTCTATGTCTCCAACCATTTAGTCTAGGTTTGAATGAAGAACAGAGACTCTGGTTAATGTATAAGATCTCAACACAAAGGTCAGGAAGCAACATGCATGAAGAAAGATAGCCTGGTATGTGAGCCAATTTCCAGGGCTTAACTTTTCACCTTGGCATAATACATTTGGAAGGTCCTAAAATTTATTTTCTTTTCACACATCTCTTCCATTTGGCTGTTCATCTGTATCCTTTGTAATATCTTTTATAAAAAACCAGTAAATGTAATAAATAAATAGTTTCCCTGAGTTCCATGAGCCATTCTAGCAAATTATTGGAGCCCAAGGAGAGGGGTCACAGGAACCCTGATTTGTAGCTGGTTGGGCAGAAGTTCCAGAGGTCCAGACTGGAGACTGGCATCTGAAGTGGGGGGCAGTCTTTGAGGGACTGAACCCTTCTCCTACGGGATCTGATGCTATCTCCAGGTATATAGTGTCAGAAATGAACTGAAGTAGAGGACACCTAGCTGTTGTCTGCTGGAGAATCTGCTGCAGAATTGCTTGCTTGGTATGGGGGAAGCACATCTCGGGGCACAGAAGCATTTTGTTGAGAGTATACTGGGAGAAACTGACTTGGTTTTTTTCCTGTGTATCTCAGAATTACATATATAAAAGAATTTTTAGTCTGAGGAATCCATTTGAAAAACTGGCCTTTTTTTTTTTTTTTTTTTTTAAACACCTTTCTAGATCTGGTCTCTCAAGATTCTGCCATTTCCCAAGAAGAGAACTCAGAAGAAGATACAGCAGTTGCTGGCCCTCCAAATACTGAGCCCAGTGTAAGTTTCCTTTCACTGGTTTTCATTCTTACGTGAATACTTAAATGAGCTCCTATTGAGTGGTAAAAAGATACAAAAATAATTAAGACAGTCTGCCTTGCAAGGAACTTACACCTCATAGTTCATTCGCATGCAATTTTATTTCAGTTCACAGAACATGTCACAGGTCTGACTCTTACACAAAAATATTTACTGAAATTCAACAAGTACTCCTGATAAAATTAATCGTATGGCAATATTGTCCTTAACATGATAAAGAACATCTCCAGCTCAGTAATGCTGGGAAATGGAAAGCAACCCTCACAATGTCAGTAGAAAGATAAGGATGTCTAATCTCACTGCAGTTAATCAGTATTTTCTGAATATTCTAGCCAATGCAGTAAGATAAGAAAGAAATGAGATGTAAGTATTGGTATGAATGAGGCACATATATAGTATTTTCTATTTGGAAGACCTTATAGACACAACTAAACAAGTACTGAAACTCATATGGTAGTGGGAAAAACAATTTATAAATCAATAAGTTTCCTATGTACTGATAATTACCAGTTAGGAAAAAAAGTTATTATTCACAATAGTGAATAATAGTGCCGTGCTAGGCCCACAGTGGCTCCAAAAAATATGTCCACTTCCTAATCCCTGGAACCTCTGAATGTTACTTTATTTGGAAGAAGGATCTTTGCAGGTATGATTAGGTTAAGGATTTTAAGATGAGGGATTTATCCTGGGTTATACAGGTGATGCCATTGCAAGCATTCATTAGAGAAAGGCAGAGGGAGATTGGACACATGAAGAGGAAAGGGTGAAGTAAAGTTAGGCAGAGTTTGGCGTGATAGGGCCACAAGCCAAGGAACGCTGACAGCCACCGGAAGCTGAAAGAGGCAAGGAACGGATTCTCCCCTAGAGCCTCTGAAGGGAGTGCACCCTTGCCAGCACATTGATCTCAGACTTCTGGCCTCCAGACCTGTGAGAGAATAAACTTCTGTTGTTTTACACCACCAAGGTTATGGTAATTTGTAATAGCACCAACAGGAAGGTAATACAAGTGCCAGTAGCCACTCTGCTGCCCTGCCTCTCAAAAAGTGATACAGAGGATGCTTTAGAAAGTGTATTTTAATGAGTCAGTGTGCTTGTTTGTAACTGTGGAGCAACTGCAAGTATATGTTATTGAACACAGATTCTCTTTGACGGTGATAGAAAATAATTGCTGCATGTAAGTGGAAGTTAACATTTGGAATATAGCCGCTGATATTATTATTACGTATTTAATTCTTACCTATAGTTAACTTAATGTTAATTCTGCAAACTTGGGGTTTGGGAATGTAAATTGTATCCTACATTTAATATTTTTCTTTTAATCCTAGGATGAACTTGATCAGTGTTAGGCATTTTAGAAAATCCTTGTACAGTATTTAACACCAGAGACTGAATGGGAGAGGGAGGGGTTGTATAATACCCTTCTTGTGGATCATTTGTGACAGTCATACAACAGCTATTCTGTAGCTTACTTTGGAATTCTTAAAAACTCAAGTGCTGTCAAAAGCTTTCTTTATAGCCTGTCTGCTTCTCTGAATCCATGGGTCTATTTGGAAATAATCCAATGCAAAAGGACTGTGTTTGGTGTTCTAGGAATCCATAACATTCAAGGATGTGACCGTGAACTTTACCAGAGGAGAGTGGAAGAGGCTGGATCCTGCTCAGAAGGACCTATATAAGGAAGTCGTATTGGAAAACTTCAGGAACCTAGAATTTCTGGGTAAAGATATATCTTCATTATCTAGCATTTAAGCTGGGTATTTTTTGTCCTCTTTTATTGAAAGATAAGTGCTACATAAAGTACTTTGTTTTGGCTGAACATCCAGGCACTGACATGACTAATCCTAAAAATGGGTCCTAAAAATGTGCTTTTCTGCAACATTTCCTCAAAAAGGTCTTTGGTTTATCAAATTGGAAATGTGGAAAATCATTTTGCTGTTATCGGTGCTATACCTTCCCCTGTTTTCTCCTCAAATTCCAGTATTGATGTCCATGTATTTAATACCATCTTTTAGCTTCTCTGGAGAACCAGAGGCTATGTATGAATGTTGGGATGTCTTTGTTCTATGCATAAACAGACATTTTTTATTCTTTTCTCTATGAGCAGGCATTCCAGTTTCCAATCTAGATTTGCTTTCCCAACTAAAATGGATTGACCTGCCATGGCTGCTGGAAAAAATAATCTCAAAAAGCTCCAGACTAGGTGAGTTGGTGAAAATAAGACAAGAAAATGAAAACAGTTGTTTACCATGTCTATTGGAAAGGACCTTTGAAATGTTGAGTCAGCTAGGTGCTAATATATAAAGATGATTAGAATTGAGCCCTCACCTTTCTGAAATGTTCATTTTAATGGGAGAGACTATTGGTTTGAGTTCTCTGTGGAATAGATGCCAAGACATGACTAGCCATGCATGGGATTTATTGGAGAAATATCCAGTGAAGGAAAATGAAGAGGCAGCTGGAAGAAGCTAGGAGAGCTATTAGAGCGTGATGCTGGGCTAACCCCTGTGATTGAGAGAGGGAAGGAAGGTAGGTCGGGTAGGAAGAGTCTTAAATTGAAATGCAGTTCTAAGAAAGTTTAGGCAAGCCTAAAAGCAGTCCCTGAGCCACAGTCACCTGTGAGAGGAGTCCTGTGTCTCAGAGAAATGGATCTGCCTAAGTATCCCGGTACTCTGTCATTGACCAGGAGCAGCCTGTGGGAACTGGTGGGAATGCAGTAGTGGATTTATAGCGCTGCAGTAGGGGCTTTCGGGTAATCTCCCCACAGACAAAGATCTGAGAAGCACATATTTACGGCCTCCGGAAACAGATACCAAACCAAAAGGCAGTAATGGTGTGATGCATGATATAATAATGGCATGTCTGAGGAGCAATGGGAACATATAGGAGCAAAGATGTAATTAACATTTGAATTGAATCTTAAAGGATAAGAAGCAATTCACCCAGCATATAGTAATTCCATTTTTCTTAAAGGGAAAAAAATGTACATATATGTCTAAAACATAGATATATATGAATTTTTAATATTTGGGAAACATTAACATTGGTTATCTCTGACAAATTAGATTTTTTTCTTTATACTTTCCTTGATCTTCTTAAAATTTAAATACATTTACATTTAAAAATGAAAATAAATTATTACATTGGTTTATTTTAAAGAAAAAAACAATAGTCCATCTTGCTCTATTC